CCTCCCAAGTTCATGATGTCACCAGATGTTCTGAGTCTCCCACCTACTCTGATCTTTAACTTAACAAAACAAACTCCCTTGTAAACCATCCCGTAGGAGTCAGGTGGATCCAATAATAATTTGTTCATAGCCTGAGATCTTAACTATGATTTCAGCTTTGTGGGCCTTGGTGAGGGATTTGACTTTAATAAAAACTTGTTCCGGGGTAAAAATATTCTCCTTTCGAAACCTCCCTTTCTGAGATGACCCCTTGTCAGTCTACTGGAAGTGAATTCTTTCCCTGATAAACTTTATTCTAACTTTCACTACATTTCTGCATGAGGAAGGAGGATAGGGAAGTACAGTTCGGTCAAGAGGGAATGGAGACCAGATAAAATGTCATAAATGTTCTTCCTAGGACATGCCCCCTTCAGGAGACATCTGGTTGGGAATGTCCTTGGAACGCCCTTTTTGTGGTTAACTCAATAGCCACTACATCATGATAAGAGGATGTTCGTGCAGAAGGGAAAGTCCTGGAGCTAGTGCATGCACTGAGGGCTGGGGAACCTGTCTTCAGATGACCTTTTGAGACACCTCCCAATTTAAAGATTCATACATATGGATTACATTTCATGCATGTAATTATAACAATGCATTACGGGTATGGACATTCGAAGTAAAATATAAATTATTGAATATCCTGCTGTCAATCATAAGAGGGACACCTGCTCAGCCCCCTTTCAGCAACCCCCTCCCTACAAACCCCAGGTTCAGCCTTTCAGCCTTAAATGGCAACTCAGAGACAATCAGGGCCTTGAGCTTTTTCCCTCACATCTGCTCCCATCTGCGAGTGTATTCCACTTTCAGTAAATCTACACTTTCCCTGCTACTTCTGCACAGTTTGTCCAAATCTTTGTTCAATTTGCCAAGAACCTGGAGCACTCACAACCAAGAAGTAGTCAGACATCCCCCATTTCTCTTCTCTCTCAGATAGGTTCTTGATATGTAGCCCAGGCTGGCCTGGAACTTGGGACCCTTCTCGCTACACCACTTGAGTGTTGGGATTACAGACATGCACCACCACGCCCAGCACTTTTTTACTCTTCACCTGAAAATTTGCTGTCTTCACACCACATTACTAAAAGGACCTCCTAAATTCCAAACTGAAAGCATTTTTTAAATTTCTCACCTTACTCATCTCACTGAAAAACTCTCGCCTTGGCTTTTAAGCTATTATATTCTCTGGCTTTCCAACCCAGTCTACAGAGGAGTGTTTAGTTCCCCTAATGCAAAGCCTTGGCAGGTTATGACTGAAAAAGCTTTTCAGGCTCTGGGAAGACTATGGCATCAACTGTATGTAGGCCCCAGCTTGATGTCTGAGGCACTGCCATTGTAGCTATGCTGGCCCCGCCCCTCCTCCCTTGGCTCCAGCCATGAGACTGCCTGCTGCTCTGCAAACGCTTCCAGTGCTTTACCACCCATTACTTCTGTCCTCATCTGCTTTCAAAGTCTAGTTACATTTCCAAGCCCAACTTCAATGCCACTTTCTAGCTAGGCCATGGTGGCATGTGCCTTTAGCCCCAGCTACTTGGGAGGCTGAGGCAGGATCAGTAGAGCCCGCTGGAGTTCAAGGCCAGCTGGACCACATATTGAGATCCTGTCTCAAAGGAAACAAAATTGCTTCTTCAATGCAGCCAGCTAGATGTGCCATCTTAGATTTCTTTTGGTGGTACTGAATTTGGACCTTGTGCTCAGCAGGCAAGTACTCTACTGTGTGAGCCACGTCTTCAGGCCTTTTTGTTTTAGGGCTTCAGACCTTTTTTTCACTTTTTGCTCCAGCCTGGCCTTGGTCCTCCTACCTCTACCTTCCTACCTCCTACCTTCTCCTACCTCTACCTCTTATGCAGCTGGGATTACAGGTAGGCCTCACCATACCTGGCCTCATCTTTTACTTTTTTTTTTGGTAGTACTGGGATTTGAACTCAGGGCTTCATGCTTGCTAGGCAGGTGCTGTACTGACTGGGCCACTCTGCCAGCCATCATCTTATTCTTTTTTCTTCCTGGTTGTAAAATGCAGAACACTTTTTTTTCTGTATCATTTTTACATTTACTTACATGTGTATACAGTTTGCGCCAACCCCGCCGCCTCAACTTCCAGGCCATCTCATACTTTCACAAGTAGATAAAAAGATCAGTTCCTGCTCTGTGGACAAATACAGCAGCAGGTTTATGGTAAAAATGATCTTAATCAGTAAACTATAATTGGACTTGGAGAAACTACGAATACCTGTTGGGAAGACATGGCTGTGTGCTTGTCTGGCTACAGTGACCCTTGTCATAGTGTCCAAGGAGATACTATAATAGGTGGCTCTTGCACTTACTTGAGTCTCTTTCACCTGAGCTGTCACGTGTCTGCTGTGTGCTGAGACTAAGTCTTGGTGGCTGTATGCATGGCCTCGAGGCCTCCTCCCCCTGTGGAGAGGCTTTCTGTTGCTGCCTTGGTAATCTGTATGTTTTTGAGTAAACTGATGCCAAGTGTGACCTCTCCTGTCTTGTGAATGGATCCAAGTACTTGATTCAGGGCCTGACAGGGTCAGCGCTATTCCTTCTGTAGGGTCCCCCACCCACCTCAGGATTTTGAAATTAATACAGTTTCTTTCGCAGCAGATTCTGGTATTGCTATACAATCTGGGTGAATCACTTAGAAAATCTTTCACCACTAATACAAAAACAATTACTTCCTACCTCAAAGGGATGCAGGGGTAATTAGGATAAGAAAAATGTTCCCTAAGCAGAAAAATGTAGTATCGTTATACTACCACGTGAGGATTTTTCCTTCTAAAAGTCTTCCTGAAGATATAGTAATATTTTTTAAGCAGCTCATATATTGTTCCAAATTTTAATTCCAACCTTCAAATTACTAATAAACACCATATGGGTCAGGTATGCTGGCTCATGCTTGTAATCCCAGCTAGTCAGGATGGTAAAGGTTAAGAGAATTGAAGTTTGAGGCTAGCTGGGCATAATGTTAGTGAAACCCCACCTTAACAAGCAAACTGAGAATGGTAATAAATGCTGATAAAACCTAGCTACATAGGAGGTGTAGGTAGGAGGCTCACAGTGTGAGGCCAGCTGGGGCAAAAGTGAGACCCTGTCTGAAAAATAGACCTTAAAGCAAAATGGGCTGAGGGCGTGGCTCAAGTGGTAAGAGCACCTGCCTAAGTTCAAACCCCAGTACTGCCATAAATAAATAAGTAAATAAAGGACGGCCTTCCTGACATAAGCTGATACAACAGTTAAGGGAAACAGTGGTTCCTTTCTTTCAATCCAGTCTACTTGCAGCTTATTCCTTGCTTCAAGTTAAATGGCACTGCACCACCCTCCCCCAAACAACGGAGGAAGATATGACTTGTCTGGGCTAAGTTTACTGAGGTGCTAGGGATATTTTAAGCCAGAGAACTAGATGTGAAGTGAAGCAGCCGAAATCTCTTTATATTCCTATGGCTCTTGGATCAGGTGCTGAAAGAGCAGAGACTGCCATTATATAGAAATATTTTAGAAATCCTCAGGGATATAAAACAACTAGGCTCCACCATTAGGTAGCAGTATGTCACTTAATACACAGAAAACCAAACACATATTACTTACAGTTGGGGAAAAGTCAAACAACCCATGTTCTAAATCTCACACACTGGGACAGTGGCCACAGCTGGACCAAATCAGTGAGTTTCATCACAGACTTTTATCTTGAAAGTTACGTTTGATCCTCTCTGTATTGATAATACTGGCCAGTTTTTTTTTTTTTTTGCTATGTCTGGGGTTTTGAACTCAGGACTTCACACTTGTAAAGCAGGCACTCTACCACTTGAACCACAAACACCTCCGGTCCATTTTGCTCTGATCCCGGCTCAGCCTTTAACTGGGATCGTCCCAATCTCCCTAGTAGCTAGGATTACAGGTGTGAGCCACTGGTGTCCAGCATATTGGCCATAGTTAAATGTGTCTATTCTGGTCCTACATTTCCTTCTGCTTTCAATGATTCAAAGTACTGCTGCCTCCCTTTTGGTCTCATTACTCAACATCTAGGACTGAAACTTTTTTTTTTTTTTTTTACAACACTGCTTTAAAAAAATCCTATTTTCAACTGGACACTGTGGCTCACACCTATAATCCTATCCTAACTTGGGAGGTAGAGATGGGGATCGGGGATTGAGGTTTGAGGCCAGCCCAAGCAAATACTTTCTGTAACCTCATCTTCAAAATAACCAGAGCAAAAGAGATTGGAAGTGAAGGTCAAGCAGTATAGTGCCTGCTTTGCAAGCGTGAGGCCTTGCTATGATCTCTCCCTCACCCTTACAGCTTCCATGATAGTGGGTAATTAGTATTCAACTGCTGTAGGTTGTAAGAAGGGCACAGGACCTCCCAGAAAGAGAACTTGGTCAAAGCTAAGGAGCCTAACCTGGCAGCTGCTGCAGACAAGCTATTTTGGCAGTCTCTCACATACCGTTCCTGAGTTAAGATGGTGTGAAGGATATAGACAGTAGTGGAAACCATACTTGAATTCTGATCTTTACCAGGGAGAGGGACATTCGGTATCACACGCTATGATGCTGGGGGTGAGCTACAGCCGTAGGCAGCTGCACAATCAAGCACGAGGGGCGTGGCCACATGGAACAGGGTGCTGTGCTAGGCTGTGACGCCCTGCAGGTTGGGGCTTTAAGCACATTTGGACTTAACGATTTTATAACTGACTTACGAGTGGCTTATCAGGGTATAAACCCCATGGTGAGCCCAGAGTGTGCATAGTGCGTAGGTTTGCATCAATAGTGGATACAAACCTTGGAGTTACAACTGAGATTCACTGATTATTAGAACAAGGTAAAAGCTTATTAGCTTCATACTAACCACAGCAAAATGTGTTTAGCATGTGTCTAAACTTCAAATCCTTTGTATAGAAGTCTTTTGGTTTTAAAGCTGAGAATTCAAATGTTCAGAGACAAAAAAAATACTCATTGAGAAAATATAACTAAAGAACATTTATTTAGTTTGCACTAAGACTTTATCTTGAGGACATAACTAAACTGTATCACCACCCCCCACCCCATCTTAAAGGATTAGTACAGTGACTGTTACAAAGCAGATCTGAATGGTGTGAAGGCCTGACAACGTTAACTGACAAAGAACAACTTCCATCTAAATCATAAAAATGTTTAAGTAAAAAAAAAAAAAAAAAAGAAAGAAAAGAAAAGAAAAAAGAGGCACTGGGGGTTTCAGATCGAAAACATCCTCACATTTCATCTAATACATTCAATCTTGGCTAGAGTGTAACAAAATGGAAACAGGATTACTATAATACAAAACTTCCACTACAGCAAGCTGTACACACCTGTATTCCAAGCCCGCCCCCGGCCCCTAACTCCTCCAATTCAATTATTTCCCGGCCTGTTGAGCCTGCCGGCGAAGGAGCACGTAGATCTTCTCTTTGATCCAGTCTTTGTTATAAGGCTGGTACGTCTGGGTATCAGCTCGGTAACTGAGGAACAGAAACGCAATAAGCAAAGTTACAGTGATCAATTACTGTCATGTTTGTTTAAAGTCCCATTATAAATGCCCAATGGTGGCACCAACATGTACATTTCCACACACAAACTTCATGAGAAGTTAAATTTTAACCAGTACAAACTGCAGATCATCTAGTATAATCTTACAGTGGAGAAAGAAACCAAGGCCTACAGCTCCTAAGTTAAACATTATCTACTTGACAGTTTAACCAGAAACCATGTGTTCTTTCTCCCACTGTAGTTTCTATTTTGGTAGCTCCTTTAGCAAGCTCCAAAACATCTCTTATCAGAAGATGAGGTAAGATTATGAAGGCTAGCACCAGCAGTGAAACTTCCATGGGACTCTGAAAGTTTTTCAGAGACCAGAGTATGCTTAATAGCAATCACTCAATGTATCTTTTACAGGATTCCAACAATAGAGAAACTTCCCATCTAACCTAAAATTGCAATCTAGCAGGTTAAGGAATACATTCTTCTTGGAGCTAATAGTAAAGCTAATACTACAGCTCTAGTATAAAAAGGCAGACATAAGCTGCCATACATTGCACGAATATACAACATGTATCACGGTATTCCAAAGCTGTGTGCACTACCTGGTGGGAACACCACCCAGGATTTAGAGAGGTCAAAGACGTGGTTTGCCTTTATGGGTCCACTTAGTTTGCCTAAAGATACCTTAGAGATGCTCTAGAAAACCAAAATCTCACTCACTGATTGTTCCATTATAGTGAAAAGTTTCATTTTTCAAGTTCTCAGCAAAAACTTGTACAAATGACAATTCTTATTAAGGCGCCAGTATTAGGTATTGATCTGATTATCTGAATTAACTCACTTTATCCTTTTTACAATGCTGTGAGTAGGTACAATTATTTTTCTTTTTTTTAAATGAGGAAACCAAGGCTCACAGTGATGCAATGTCATAGCTAAGAGACAGTGGATAAGTAAAGGTAGTAGGGTCAAAGCACTCCGACACCACGGTCCTCACTGTTAGGCTAGAAATCTGGATGCCAGTTTTGGCAAGAAACATGAACTCCAAAGCAGGAATGCTTTATATAACTAATATCCTATTCTTCTTCCTCTGTATAGATCAGAAGCTCATTCTTAAAAAATGCACAAGCTTTCCATTTTATAAAATGCTTAACCAAATTCAAAATATTTGATGTTTTTTAATTGTCATTGTTATGATAAGAAATATTCTAAAAAGTGAAAATACTTTGCCTTAGCTCATACTTCCTAATTAAGTGCTAATCTAATGTATGTAATGTAGCAGAACAAACTACATTTATTTATTAACACTGAGAAAAGGGAAAAAGGAACAAAGCTTCTTGTAACTATCATATCTGGGCTGGACAGCATCATTTAGACCACTCCATATCCAAGGAGACCACTCTGGCCTGTGCGCATTTAGGGATCCATCAATTTGCATGTTATTTTACAAATTGTGAAATAATGGTACATTCTTTGCGGAAAGCTGTGTGTTGACGGATACTAACCCGCACTTGAAAATGAGACAATTAAATGTTAAATACATTAATAAAATTCCTAGTTTATAGCCTGTTGTTAGGTTCAGGTAAGAATGTAATTGAATCTGGGGATCTGAGCAGTGAAATAGCAGTGCCTTTCTGATTCGGAGTACCTCTCTTCATTATAATTACCACAGATGAAAATGCCCTTTTACCTTGAAGCAAATAAGGAGACCTTGCATCTCTATCAGTACGTGATCCATTTGCCCTGGGTTTAGTTTATTCCCTTCCCTCCAATACTGGTTTTTAATTTAATTATTTTTTCCTTGCAGTGCCAGGGATTGAACCTGGGACTTGTGTGCACCACTCAAGCCCTCTATCACTGAACTACACCCCCCAGTTCTATACTATTCAAAGAGGAAAAAAAAAAAAAAAAAAAAAGGTCCCAAGTCACCACTACATAAACTTAATAGAAGCAAGGAGCACACAACAATTTGTAAACCAAAAACTGGCCCAATCCCTGGTCTGAAAAGCAACAGCCTGGGCTGGTGGAGTGGCTCAAGTGGTAGAGCACCTGCCTACTAAGCATGAGACCCTGAATTCAAACCCCAATACCAGGGGAAAAAAAAAAAAAAATCAGTAATGAAAAGCAGTAGTCCAAATCATTATCTTGGATTAAGAAGGCAGGAACTGAGTGCAGTAGAGTGCAGTATTATGTACACATAAGCCAGGCTTTTTAGGAGTAGGAGGCTCAAGTGGGAGGACTGCTTGAACCCATGAGTTTGAGGCCAGTCAAGGCAACACAGTAAGTCTCTGATTTTGGAAGGAAGTGCCACAATAGTAGATGACCTTGTGGGAAATACTAAATAATTCTAAATCATAAATTTGATTCTCCAAGTTTTCTGAGGCAAAAAGTTTCCAACATTTGAAATAGAAACAGAAATTTAGATGTAATTTACAGCTTTCAATTAAAAACAACAGACTGCTTTAGTTGGAAAGAATCATCTAGAAGATGCTAGATGCTTTCTGGCTTGTTCAATAGCACAAGATTAGCGAAGCTATGCACAATCATTAATAACATACTTGTGATGGTTCTCATCTCACTCTACAGATAACCCGACAAACTTTACTGTCACTTTCACTACAAATACACAAAACCCAAAAGCCACATACTTGCATTAGGTCCCTTTTACTTTGTGTAATGTTAACATTTCAAAAAACCCCAAACACTTTTTTATTTGTTAGTAGCACAATTTATCTCACTTAAGCAAACTGAAATTCATTAAATTGTATAAATTTATAGCAAATTTTAAAGAACACATGTGAAATAAAAACAAAACCCTGCCCATCTACTCAAAAATGGAGCTCCTGCTGTATATGATACTGCTGTTAGGCAAGCACTTAATCCTCCTAAGAAGTCTTGCAAAGCAGATTTATCTGAGCACATTAAGCTAACTAGCTCAAGGAAGATAAAAAATGGTAGAGCCAGGATTTAAACCTAGTTATGTTTAATTCAGAAACTCCAGCTAGCCCTTAATTTCAGCCTCCCAGAGTGAGTAAAATACAATTCTTGGTTTTAAGTTACTTCCCATTTATTGGGAATGAGCACCACAGCTCAAACCATGGATCAGATACCAGATGTCTCAGTAAGAGACGTTTTATAAAATCATCAAGAAAACCATATTATATGAGTAATTTAATATCCAGTGGATGATTCTCCTGACACCCAGGCCTCTTAGTTTCTTGATTCCCAACTCTTCCAAAGATTTCATTTCCGGCCCCTTCTTGGCCAGATTCCTAGACCTTGTCATTACCAGCAACCTCATTACTTACTAATACTCCAACTTTAGCAATCTTTTGACGTCCCTGGAACCTACAACTCATTGAAATCACCAATACTGTGTGTATTTACTGTCTAGAGTTTAAGAATAGGAACTTTTTTTTTTGTGGTGGTACTGGGTCTTGAATTCAGGGCCTACACCTTGAGCCACTCCACCAGCCCTTTCTCACGATGGGTTTTTTTTTTGAGGTAGGGTCTTCCAAACTATTTGCCCAGGTTGGCTTCGAACTGCAATCTTCCTGATCTCTGCCTCCTGAGTAGCTAGGATTATAGGCAAGAATCAACGGCGCCTAGCAGGGAGCTTTGTTTGTTGTCACTGCTATGTCCTTGGTGTCTAGAATAGTATCTGGCATATGGTAGTAAGTGAATATTGATGGTATAAATGTAATGTTACATATGTACTATGATTTGAGGCATAGGTTTTTAAAATGATGGGTAATTCCTTCTGACTTGACAATATGATCTAGAAAAAAAGTGTAAGAACCTAATATGACATTTCATGCTGTATTTTGTAGTCTCTTACATTAGAAATCTTGAAATTATCCAATGAAATTCTACATTTATATTTGTTCTAGGTACATATCAATGTTAGGAAATTTTTCTTCTTGAATAACCTAAATCAAAAAGGGCTAGAGGTGTAGCTCAAGTGACAGAGCACCTGCCTAGCAAGTACAAGGCCCTGAGTACAAACCTATTACACCACATCCCCCTAAAAAACAACAAAAAACCGTGACTAGATGTTTCCATTGGATCTTAAGGCATAGGAATCCCAGGGGAATGCTTGTTTTCACCAGGAACCTCTGGGAAGACAGCAAGGTGCAGCTAGGCTCCAGACCGGGCTGCAGTGGTGATCAGGAAGTGACTGTGAGCAGAACCTGTATGTTTTCAACACTGCTCCCTTAAGTGCTGGCATAGCGCCTGGCATGTAATAAGTATTTAATGTCACCTCATCCACTTTCCTCCATAAAATGAACTATATCTACAGCTAGTTTCTCATTCACAAATGGAGAGAAGATTAAGTCAGTCTGTAACATTCATGTTCCTTAGTAAGTAGTGGTAATAAGCAGATTAGCACCATAAAATATTACAACATATTAAAAAATGCGAGAAGAAGGGGGATCATTCCCCCCAAAAGATTATTAGTACAGGGAACAAAGAATCAGGATACAGAATTTCTTAATTAGCAAAACGAACTGCACCAATTAGTGAATTTTCTTAAGATTTTCCCACGTCTTTGGCTTAATGTTGTCAATACAACTTATGACCTATATGTAAGTGAAATATTAATTTCATTGTATAGTACATAAAACCCAAAGGTCAAGTTAGGCCCACAGCAAACTCCCAATACATAAATTACCTCAAACAGACAAAGAGAAAAATGCGAGAGAAATGGTGGCTAATACTTACACAAGGCAGCTGAGATCTGCCAGATCGTCGATAAAATCAAACAACTGACTGATGTCGTATGTGATAGAGGGGCTGTTAGGATTCATTCTCTTCAGATGTTCTTCATACATTTTACAAACGCCTAGAGTGGGGAAACCAACAACTTACAACTCGCAAACTTCCAGGTGAGTGCTGCTATATGTTGATAATTTACTTTCCTAAAGTTAGGCTGGGAAAAGGACAATAGCTGATCACTTTTGTTTTAATTATTGCCCCTAGCAATTTTTAAAAATTTTAAAAATAAATTCAATAGAATGTTAATTACCATTCTGTGCTTTAGTAATAAAATGATTACTTTAAACCACCGGAGCTGAAAAGGCTTGTCATGGATTGCTCAAAAAATGGTAGCACTGGAACTCTTGGCAGAGCACTTGCCTAGCATGTGCAAGGTCTTGTGTCCATCCTTAGCACCCTCTGTCCCAAGACAATATTGTGGCTTTTTAATCTTTTTGGGTGTTATTGGGTTTGAACTCAGGGCTTCATGCTTGCAAAACAGGTGCTCTACTGCTTCAGCCATACTTCAAGTCTAGTCCATTTTGTTCTAGTTATTTTGTAGATGGGGCTCTCCAACAACTTAATTGCCTGGACTGGCCTCAAACCCCCATCCTTCTGATCTCAGCCTCCCAAGTGCAAGCCACTGATGCCGGACTTAATTTTTTTTTTTTAGTGTTGGGATTACATACCACAAAGATTTTAGATTTTTTTGGACAGTACTAGGGTTTGAACTCAGGGCCTCACGTTTGCTAGGTAGGTGCTCTAACACTTGAGCCATTTCACAAACCCTTATCGTGGTTCTTACTATTAGGTTTTCCAGTAAATCTTTCTAAAGCCAAAGAATATACAAAGAAAAACCCCACACTTAGGAATGATCCTGACAAATACTTTCCTATTCCATCCTCAAATTTTGGTGTAACAACAAAAAAAATAGTCACAATAAAAACTGGCAACGTGGTTAGAACCTAATATGGTCCTCAAGACCCTAACTCTGGATTCAGACAGACCTGAATTCCAGCTTTGCCTGTATTTACTGTACAATCTTGGGCAAATGATTCCATCCTGTGAGCCTTACCTGTCAAACGGAAATAACAGCATCTTTTTATAGGGTTGTGTGTATTAGGTAAAATGATACATATAAAAAGCGTTAGAACTTGTATACGTTTTTAAGTTCTCCATGGAGTATAATTAAATGAGCAAAATCACATTATTAACAATTATCTACAGGATATATTACCTGTTTAATTTTTATTCAATGAAACACTCCTTGGGACCATACTTTTTCAGTCCATCCCATTCCTATCAACTACTCTTACGACTACCTGATGAGCAGACAAGTGACATCAATGTTAGTTCATCTGGGAAAAACATGTTCTATACTCTAACACATAGGCCCACAAGGTACTTCTAAAATAACGTCTTAAATTTCCTAATAAAAGCAGTAGTCAATCATAGAACCATTAAAAAACTATCTTAATGATTTTTTTCTTTTGGCAGTATTGGGTTTGAACTCAAGGCCTCTACCACGTGAGCCATGCCCCACCATCGCCAGCCCCTTTTGCTTTTGCTATTTTTTAGATATGGTTTTACTTTTGCCTAGAGCCAGCCTCAAACCAAGATCCTCCTACCTCTGCCTTCCAAGGAACTGGGATTAGTGCCACCAAGCCCACCTTGTTCTCTGAAACAGGGTCTGGCTAACTTTTTGTTCAGGCTCATCTTGAACCCTGATCCTCTCTCTGCATCCCAAGTAGCTGGGATTACAGAAGTGAGGTATTACATCTAGCTTACTGTTTTTTATTGCTACTGGCATACTACACTCTGAGCATATAATATCGCTCATTAGTTGCTGAATGGAAAGGTCAAAATGAAAAGGAAACAAAAAACAGAAAAATAAAAATTCACTGCTCATCTTCAAAAGGCATTGACCTACAGCTACAATCACACTAAATGGTAAAATACTGGACACTTTTCTGCTAACACTAAAAGACCAGAATATACTCTGGCCTCTTTTTACACAACACTGGACTACAGGTTCTGGCCAAGGCAACAAGGCAAGAAAAACTGAACAGGTATTTATACCAGAAAGGAAGAAGTACATTATCTCTGTTCACAAACATGATCTTCTAGATAGAAAGTCTTAAATAAACATCTGAAAAACTAATAGAACAAAGAAATGAATACAAGTTTGTGGGATATGAAATCAGTATATGAAAATCAATTGTATTTCTATACTTTAAACAATAACCTGAAAACGAAATTACAAAAACTCCATTTACAACAATGTAATAAAGCTCCTAGGAAGAACTTTAACAAAGCAGCTTAAGACTGGTCACACTGAAAACTACAAAATGTCGAGGAAAGCAAAAGTCTAAATAAATGGAAAGCCATTCCATGGATTGGAAGACATTACTAAGATGTAATACTCCTCTAAGTCATCTATACATTCAATGTAATCCCTGAGCTGATTTTGCAGAAAAGTAATGGGCTGATCCTAAATTTAACATGGAAATGCAAGACACCCAGGATAAGCAAAATAATCAAAAAAGGAACAAATTTGGAAGACTCATACTTCCTGATTTCAAAAATTATTAGTGATACAGTCATAAAGCCAGCATACAGACATCAGTGGAATAGGAATATGGGTCCAGAAATAAACCTTCACATTTATGGTCAACTCAACTCCATGAAGGAAGAGGTCTTTTGAACAATGGTGCTACAATAGTTACATGCAAAAGAATGAAGGGAGCTCCATTATCATACCACATATAAACAGTCACTCAAAATAGACTGAAGACCTAAAGGTAATTACCAAAACTACAAAACTTTAAACAGAAAAGAAACTGTAAAGTCAATGTGCAAACTGGAAGAAAAATCTTTGAAAACACACATGATAAAAGACTGGTGTCCAAAATAAAGAGCTCCTAAAAATCAGCAAGCTCAATAAAAAGAGGGCAGAAGATCTGAATAGACGTCTCTCCAACGATGGCAAATAAGCAGATGAAAAAATGCTCAGCACCACATACCACTGGGGAGGAGTGCATTAAAACGACACACCAAATGCAGGCAAAGATCTGGAGCAGAAAGGAGCTCACGTTCACTACTGGTGGACATGTAAAGTGATATGACTACTTCTAAACTGTTTGGCAATTTCTTACAAAACTAAATACAATTTTACCAAGATGATCTAATAATCACACCTAGGAGTGTAGGCTCACAAGAAATGGTACACATAAATATTTGTAGTTTTATTAATAATTGCCCCCAAATGGAAGCAACCAAGATGTCCTTCAACAGGTAAATAGTTAAATGGTGGTACATTCTTGTAGTAGAGTATTATTCAGGGATAAAAAGAAATAAGCTGTAAAGAAAACATGAAAAACCTACAAAGTGTATTACTAGGTCAAAGAAGCCAATGTGAAATGCCATTATGTTGTATAATTTCAATATAATATTCTGGAAATGATAAAACTAGAGACAGTAAAAAGATCAATGGTTGCCAGGGAAGAAGTAGATATAGGTGGAACACAGGATTTTCAAACTATTCTGCATAATACAGTAATGGTAAGGACATGTCAAAATCCATACAATGTTCAAAGAGTGATGTGAATTATGGCCTGTTGTTAGTAACAATGCGTCAGCTGGAACTCTACTTACCAATCAATTTTCCTATAAGCCTAAAACTGCTCTAAAGAAAAAAGTGTATGAGTTTTAAAAAATGGGGAGGGGATGACTAGGAAGGAAAAACTACAAAGGAACATTAAGTAAGAAAACTATCATCTGGCAACCACCATGTGAGATTCTGCTTTAACTCTTTTAAGCTTTTGTAGCTGGGCCCCAGTGGCTCACGCCTGCAATCCTAGCTACTCAGAAGGCAGAGAGCAGGAGGATTGTGATTCAAAGCCAGCCCCCAAAAAATGGTTCGTGAGACTCTATCTTGAAAAAACCCTTCACAAAAAAGGGCTGGTGGAATGGCTCAAGCCCTAGTGGGGGGGGGGGGTGAGGGAGAAGATCTGTATATGTGTGCGCTAAACCCAAGGCCTTGTGCATTCCAGGTAAGCACTACACCCCAACCCCTCATTTTAAAACCTTTTAAATGGAAAATATATCATTATTCTAATCTAAAAAGAGAAATGGGAGCTATCAGGTCATGAAAAAGACATGGAAGACCATTATATGAATATTGTTAAGTGAAAAAAGCCAGTATGAAAGTCTGTATGTGACATATATGTGAAGCTCAGCATCCATGAATTCAAATAACCATGGATTGAAAACATTTGAAAAACAAATTACACCTGTACTAAACATTTACACTTTTTTGTTATTATTCCCTAAATAATAATGGTTATATAGCAACCACACTGAATTAGGTAGTATAAGTAATCTAGAGATGACAAAGTACGTGGGAAGATATGCGTAGGTTGTATGCAAGCACTGCACTTTTTAATAAAGACTTGAGTATCTGCAAGCATGTTTTAGTACCTGCGGGGGGTGGTGGTGGTGGTAGTTGTGGAAGTTGGGTTGCCAAGGATACAAGGGAGAGCTACACCATTCTGGAAAAGGTGAAGATATGGAGACAGGAAAAAGACTGGAGGTTGCTAGGGGCTTGAGGGTTAGGACAGGGGACTTACAGGATAGTCAAACTATTTTGAATAATACTGCAATGGTGATTCCATGCCTCATGAACTTTGCAAAATCTGTAGATCTGTATAACACAAAGAATCAGCCCTAGTGTAAATTATGGACTTTAGTTAATAATGTATCAGTAGTGGTTCACCACTGGAACAAATATGCCACACTAATGCAGGATGTTAACAATAAAGGCATCTGCAACAGATGGGGAGGAGTAATATCGGGACTCTGTTCTGTCTGTTCATTTTTTTCTATAAATCAAAACCTATATATTGATGAAAGTACATTACTTTAGAAAACAATTAGAGCCATGCATGATGGTACATGCCTGTTCCAGTACTTAGGAGATGAAGAAGGAGGATCTCAAGACCCTGTCTCAAAAAAAACAAAAACAACAGGCTGGGGGCATGGCTCAAGTGATACAGTGCATGCCTAGCAAGCACAGGCCCTGAGTTCAAACTGTAGTACCACCAAAAAATAAACAAATGACAAAGTGAAGCTTTATAAAAACCAGCAAAGATTATTGAAGAATACTACAAGATCAAAGTCTAAACATGACAATATAGGTAAAGAAATATGCTAAGGTAGTGTGGACAAAGTCAAGTCAACCTTAACAGAAAAGCAAATACCAACAAAGGAATGGACTAGAAAAGAGATCATGAAAAAGTTCCTTGCTACTTCTTTAAAATTAGAGTAGAATTTGATGGCAGCCTTGAAGGAATCGTGCTAGCTACCAAGAAGTCATCTCTGATGACAAGTAGCTTTTGTTTTCACAGGCGCACTCATTGGTTTTACATGGACAGATCTACAGTCTAAGCCAGTTAGTTTTGAATAACCAATAGTTTCAGGGGCATGGTCAGCAGCACGTGTTTACAGGAGGACCTGGAGAATGAACAATCTGCTAGGAAGGATGTGGGGCGCACAAAACCGGTTAACTTCATATAATGACTGAGCCTAAAAATAAATCCAATTTGTGAAGATCCAATCTGTGCTCTAATGGTTTTCCAAGTAAAGAAACATTAAGGGCTAATAGTTCCCTTCAGGGTGGTGTCAGCTTATCAAATGCTGATAAATCAAGCCAATTTGGATCCATTAGCCTTTATTCTCTGAGCTAATTTTTACTTTCTAACAATTCCTGATGGGTTATAACCAAATCTAAACAGCTTTTAGCATTTACTTGTTTAATAGGCAGACAATTAGGTTCAGAAGGCATCTTCAGAGCCTGCCTTAACAACTCTAAAGTGCTGGAGTCTAACCTGAACATGTAAAGAATAGCTGCGATGTATCTATGTAATGTAACACAACAAAACATGTAAGAAGTAATAGAATATTTGCAAAACAATGAGAAGCTCTGAAATGTAACTGGTTATATACATGAGCTTGATTTAAAACAGTAAAGTAGTATCAGTGTATTTTTAATGTAATTAATATCCAACAAATGTAAACTACCCAAAATATCTATTTTTCCTGCTGGAATTACTAATTCAAGAAATAGAGTAAAAACACAATCTAGTCCCTAAATGAGACATATTTTAAGTGTGTTAAGGAAAACATCAGAAACCTAAGATTTCTACCCGTTGATTAGTGTTAAACTCACCTTCCATGCATTCGTTCACAGATTCGTAGTCAGCATAAGTTCTGCCTTCTGGCCTCTTGGTAGGCTGAACCAGCAAAATGGTGTGAGACTGAAGGGGGAAAAGCAATTCCAATTTAAAGTTTCTAATTTGTATTTGGGAAATTCACACACGATTTAAAATCCCCATTTGTGACACAATACTGTATTAGTGATTAAAACAACTAACTAGGTTGCTCATTTCACAGTATTTATGCCTTTGTCCAAGTGTGGTACCAGCAGTTGGATTTACAACTTCCCTGGTTAGATCTCCCTGAGTCTCTGGGTAACAATGAGTTTTCTCAAACCAGGAATGCCTGCAAATACTCAGCAAACCTACTTTGTACTGCCTTGTCTTTGTTATCTTTTCTTCTCAACCTGCTAAGGTTTGCTGTCTGCACTGGTCTCTTTCTCTTTCTAGCTCTATTGAATCCCTAATAAAAGCTAAGATCTGGGTTGATGAAAGAAAGGAGAAACACTATAATTGTTGCAAGCACTCTATCAACCTATGTTCTTTTTCCAATTCAGCACAACAGTGGAGTCATATTTTATGCAAGGGTTAGACTCCAAGATCAGTGTGTAAGGTAAATTGGCAATATGAAATTAATTTGTTAGTAAACATTACCCTCAAAAATCCACTGAAATGATTCACCTAGAGGTGAGTGTGGTGGAACCTGCCTGTAACCCCAGCACTTTGGAGGCTGAAGCATGAGGAACTTAAGTTGAAGGCTATCCTGGGCTACATAGCAAGTTAGAAGCTAGCCAGATCTCATCTCAAAACTTAAAAAAAGCACTGGGGATATAGCCAGTATTAGAGTGGCTGCCTAGCATGCACAAGCTCTAGGCTCAATCCCCAGTGCCACAAAAGCAAAAAACCAAAAACCTATTCACCTAGTAGACAACTTGCATTAAGGGGCTATTTTGCACCTAAGTCACTTATTTTTCAATACTACCATCACAAAAAATTGATGGTCATACCACAAAATAATGTGAATGCATCTGAAGAATAGTAGAGACTGATGGCTTCTCCTTCATCTCACTGGGGAACATGTTTTTCTTGCTGGGTCAATTTCAGGGTTTTGCAACCTCCACATTATTATATCTGAGATGGGATGACTCTTTGGGGGCTGTCCTGTGCATTCTAGGATGTTTAGCAGTATCCCTGGCCTCCACTCACTTAATGCCTAAATGCCACTACTACCTCCCCCACAAAATTGTGATAACAAAAGTGGCTCCAGAAAGTGTCAAGTGTCATGACAGGGTAGGGGAATCTTGCCCAGTTGAGAATCACTGGCCTATCGAAATTAAGTCCCCATCCATTTTTACCGACATGCATGTAAGGGTAATTAAACACCAGTATGATGCAACTGTAAACCCATTCCTGAATCAAACTATTTACTATTTTCTTTTGCAATACTAGGTTTTGACTAAAAAATAAAAGTCAGGACCTCCAAAACTCTCTCAAATGATCCAAGTTTTTAAACTATTAAAAAACTGGAACAGAAATGACTGATATTAAGACTTGCTGAACAAAACATATCAGTACCTTGCCGGTACTGGGGTTTTGAACTCAGGGTTATCACTCTTACTAGGCAGGCAACTCTACCACTTGAGTCATCCTCCAGCCCATTTTGCTCTAGCTATTTGCCGGGATACACTTAAACCGCGATCCTCCTGATCTCAGCCTCCCAAGTAGCTAGGATTACAAGCATCAGACATGAGGCACTGGCGCCCAGCCTTGATTTACTTTTTGAAAGTCTCGCAAACATGAACCATAAAGGCAGTTATTTTGCTATTGCAAAAATATTATAAACTATAAATATCGTAAATTTCAAATGCTTCCCCAAAACAAAAAAAAAGGAGAAATAGAATTTGACACTTGTCCAACTAGAACAGATTATCAGTGTCTGTCTTAACACAGTACTAAATAGTGGCATTAAAGCAGAGGCAGAAACTCAGAATGACTTGGCCGAGGTCACATCACACTGCTAATTACAGCAAATGCTGAAACCGGGTCTTCAATTTGCAGTGTCCTTAAGAGATGCTGTTGGATCAGAAGCCTGTATACCACGGGAAAGTACAACTTGAAAAAGTTCCTTGCTTAACAATAACATCAAAAAAATGAAAAGTGAAACGTGGAACAACCCTGATTCCAAGAAACCGCCTCAAGTTCTCTCTAGGGTTATTAAAAAAATACAGTAAAACCAAAACCCACCCCCACTCCACCCCCACGCGAGTGAGACACCGAGCCTTACGTATCTTTTCAGATCCCAGCCCCAAGTTACAGGACTTAGGACTGATAGAAACGACAAATGAATCCCCCAAGGATCTTAGAAAAGACAAAAACGATTTTTAAAGGCAGAGCGCAGGAAAACAAAAGGCAGTGGATGCGGAAGCACACTACAAAGCCAAAGAGCCGCCCGATACCCCGGGCGGGACAGTAAGCCCACAAATTTGTCAGTGTCGGGGAGACGCTTGCTGGGCGTCCCTCGGCCATTGTTCCTCACAGGATCCATCATCTGGAGGAAAGAGCCCCATGCACGCCGTCTCCACCCAGCAGCAATCGGGAGGGCGCATCCCCAGGCCCGCCGCATGCGGGCGCGCAACGGCAGGGCAGACCCAAAGTCCGGGGCCTACGGCCAGGCCCCGCGTCTCCGCGGCGGGAAGTAAGGGTCACCCCACGAGCTGGAGGGGCGCGGAGCACCACGCTTACGCTGGATGCTCAGGGACGAGAGGGACAGGAAGGTATAAGCAGCAGGGGGAGACTGGGGGCTCCAGCAGCGGCTAAAGCCTTTCTCACCATTTCGCCAAACGCTTTGCTGCAGCCGCCGCCGACACCGCCGCCGCACACGAGCTCAGCCGCAACGCCGCTAACAGCTAATCCCCGCGAGAGGAGCCGCCGGAAATCGTCGGAAGCGCGACGAGAGAAAGCCTTTTAGACCATAGAGATACACACACTTCCGGTAGCTAGAGTGGGTTCTGACTCAGTTTCAGCCATCTTTAATAAGGGCAAAGAAGGACCATTTCGAAGCTTTAGAAAGACTCTTGTAACTCAAAACGTTGCCTTCAGTACTTCAGTTATCAGACATGTGACTCAAGTGATCACGAGTATACACAGTGATACCTTTCATCTTCTATAGCCCTACTAAAAAATGGCGGCAAATATAAGTATCCTGGCCTATTGGTCGGTTGTAACCCGGAAGTGCCCTTCTAAGGAGGGGGCGGGAGACAATCCGGAAGTAGGTGTAATGAAGAGTTGCCACTTGGCGGCCATGGCCGCTGTAGTATCGGCGACTCCGGGTCAAGGCCCAGCGGAGGGGAGTACCATGGGCAGCACCGGGAATAGGGCAGAGACAGCTTTGTGTCAGTTCTGCTGCTGAATCCCTAGGACTCGTCGTTAGAGACTTGCAGGACTGTTCTCTCCATTGTAACTGGGAGGGGAGTTTGCTGGGACTGGTGGGCTGGTCCCTACCCTGGGGGGCGGATCACCGGCGTGGCCGCCCTTGGGAAACCCGCGCCCAGGGAACGCACAGGTTCGCCCTGGCTTTCCTCCTTTCCAGCTGCTACCCGGGACGCTGTGGGGTGAGAGGGCCGTTGTGCCGCCGTCATTGCGACAATTGAACAACTCGCTCAATTTTCCTCTCTCTGAACGCACAAGAACCCAATAACTGGCATCCAAGAGCCCGCGGGGCCGGAGCCTAAGGTTGCTCCAAGTTTTCTGTGGTGCTAGTATCCGCAAAGGGGGGCTGTTTCCAGGTGCGGTCAAGAGCAACGTGCTTCGTGAACACATCTGCTTGTGGGGAGGCTGAGAGCACTGGAAGTCCACTCACCATCCTAGACCCACCTTGAGCACCTGGTGCCGGTGGGGGATCGCAGGAGAGCACCATGGATGACTTCATCTCCATTAGTCTGCTGTCTCTGGCTATGTTGGTAGGCTGTTACGTGGCTGGAATCATTCCTTTGGCTGTTAATTTCTCAGAGGTAAGGACTGCTCGGTTTTCTGTCAACTCTCAGGATGGTGATAGGAAGTCGTGATAGTTGTCAGGGGAAGACGCTTTCCTGCGCTAAACAGACTTCATATTCAGTGCTAGAAATCTTCACCTGGGCTGGGTGGCTAGTCCACTGAACATCTCGGAATACTCTCAATCCCCTGAAATTGTGTCCAGAAATTTGGGGCTCTGCATTTTCCCATACAGAGGTATAATAACATCTCTGTTGATTTCCAGAGGAATCAGGTACCAGATTGTTATAAAGAATGGAGAATATTATTTGTTCATATCAGTTGAAATCAATATTTCTCTTTTTGAGAAAAGCTCAGGGTTTTTGGACGAGTGTACTGTAATCAATGGGAGACAAACTAAATTAGGTTAATGTTAATTCAGATTTCCTTTTAAAGAAGCAGGACATTGGAATGGATAGTCTGAAGTTTTCATGTCTCTTTGCTTAGAAATTAACTTTTGATTAGTACGTTTTGACATTTTGGTTAATTTGTTAGGTTATCATTCCTTAAACAAACATCACCAGATGGGAAAGAAGGGTAGATGAAGGCATTGCTAAATGAAAATGTAACTTGTCATAAAGAGTTCACAAAGTGCACAGTGCTCAAAGACTTAGGGAGAAAAACTACTCCATTCAGAGGGAACAGGATTTCATGAGTTTGTCCTGCAGTTTAGCCGTAAAATAGACCCTAACTTTGATGCCAGTTCTGAAGGTGTTTTCAAAGGAAAAGGGAGGTATGAGTGATGAGTGAGGTATGCCTTGAAAAAAAAAAAAAAAACCTGAAGGAGAGGCATTACTGGTGAAGAAAATAACCTGTGGCTGGGAAAGAACCAGGGACAAATTATAAGTTTGAGGCAAAATAAAGCCCATAGCTGGGGAGGCTTGAACTGTTGCTGCTCTTTTTCCATTTCCTTTTTTATCTGTATCCCTTAGCATCTAATGGTAGCATTTTAAAGAAATTACCTTTGTTGCCTAACCTCACTTTAAAAACTCACTAAGGGAGATGGGGATGTAGCTGATGGGTAGAGGGCTTGCCTACCCAGCACTGCAAAAACAAAAAATGCAGCAGCAACATTAAGGAAAACATCAGAGGGACTGGTGGAATGGCTCAAGTGGTAGAGCACCTGCCTAGCAAGTGTGAGGCCCTGAGTTCAAACCCAAGTACTGCCCACTCCCCCCCAAAAAATTACTGAGAAACAGATGAGGTAACTGAGTGTCAGACAGATTACAGAATTTGGGTAAGCTCATGAAGTATATCAGAATCAGAGCTGTTTGCCTGGCGCCAGTGGCTCATGTCTGTAATCGCAGCTGCTCAGGAGGCATAGATCAGGATTGTTGTTGGAGGCCAGCCAAGGCAAATAGTTTGAGACACCATAGCTTGAAAAAAAAATCATCACAAAAAAGGGCTGGCTGAATGGTTCAAGCATAAGGCCCTGAGTTCAAACTCCAGTACCACACCAAAAAAAAAAAAAATCAGCTGTTTTTTAAATCCAGGTTTTTCTGAGTAAAAGCAATTCTTAGCCACTCTGTCCATGTGGCAGAGGTACAGAGTCCATGTGCAGAGTAGCCATTAACAGATCCAGCCATGGACTTCCTTCATTAGATTAGCAGAATATTTAGTTATTATTGGTTTTTGCCTCTATTTCTACAAGGCAACAGTTGGGTGGAGCTGGGTGACAGCTGATTGTCATGGTCTTCCGAGCCGGTGAAGCCCGGTTCTCTCTCTTGGGTCACTGCCCTGCCTAGTATTTTGTGACCCTGCTGATTTTCCTCTAACAAAGATACTTTCTTATAACTACTTAGGATTGCATTGCCATTATTAGGCTGCCATTTGCGAGGTTTGGGTTGGTTTATATATTTAAAGATTTAAATTCAAGAAATATTTGTGAAGAATTATAATCAATTCAGATAAGCAATCCATAACTTATTTTTTGAAATGGAGTCCTGCTGTGTTGCCTAGGCTGGTCTCTAACGATCTCTTTGCCTTGGCCTCCTGAGTAGCTAGCACTACAGACATGAACCACAGAGCCCTATTAAAACTTCTAATTTCTATAAAATGCTTATAATTTCTCCCTATTTCAGTATTTTCGAAAACTGTCTTCAATGATTATTGCAATATTTCAGATTTGTGCTATTTTTTTCAGTGAAGGGAAATATCTACATGAATGGTGTTATTAATCAGGCCTTTTAAAAATGTTTAGCATCTTTATACCTCTCATATGTGGCTTTCCAAATTGACAAATGGTCTTTTCCAGCTGTAGCTTTTTTGTTGTTGTTCTGAGGTTTTGAACTACAGGCTTTGGAGTTTTGTGCTTCCCACTATTGCTGGTATGACAGGCACGTGCCACCACACTCAGCTTTTTTACCATTGAGATGGGGGTCCCATGAACTTTTTTTTTCATGGAGCTGGCCTGGAACTACTCTTCTCCCAGTCTTAGCCTCCTATGTAGCTTGGGATGAGAGGCACATGCCATTCATCCAGGTTTTGATTGAGATGGAGCCTCCGTAACTTTTTGCCTGGACCAGCCTGAACCATGAGTCCCTTGATCCCTACCTCTTGAGTAGATGGGATTATAGGTGTGAGTCATCATTCCAGGCCTCAACTGGAGTTTTCTATCTCCTAGGACGGAAACATTTTTTTTCTAGGCAAATTATGCTATTATTGTAAACCAGTGTATCATGAAGCTAGTAAGGTGATAAATTTATAAAAATAAACATCATTCATAGGGAGCTGGGAAACACAATTTCTACCCTTAGGAAATCGCTCTCCAAGTGCCTCCACTGGCTAAACAACTTCCCTTTTTAGGAAGTCTGGCTTTTCCTTTTGGGTGAGTTATTTTAAAGTTAGAGAAGAGGACTAGGCTAATGTATTTTATTTTACAGTGCATTCTCACTTACGTGAAAAGATCTGCTTTTTTTTTCATGTTCTTAAACTTGTTACTGCTTTGTCATCCAATACATTTTTCTTCAGAATTTCTCGGAGCAGGAGTGAAGTCAAGTGACCAATCACAGCATGAATTATGGCAGGATGAGTATTTAGAAATGAGTTAAATACAAGTATTCTGAAATTGCTGTAGCAAAGTCCACCTGCTTTATCTTGACAGTCAAGAAGTGTAAGGGAGTGGGCACCAGTGACTCACTCCTGTAATCCTAACTACTTGGGGGCCTGAGATCAGGAGGCCAGCCCAAATTAAAAGTTTGTGAGACCCCCATATCCAAACAAAATGGACTGGAGGTGTGGCTCAAGCGGAAGAGCATCTACTTTGCAAGTGCAAAGCCCTGAGTTCAAACTTCAGTCCCACCAAAAAAAAAAAAAAAATGTGGCATTGATTTCCCTATTACTTTCTCCAGTCCTCTTCACCCCAAACTGCCTTCTTGATGCTTCCATGGCCTTATTCCTTGCCCTTTGGGCTGGCAACTGTACCTTGATGCCTAAATTTATAAAACAAAGGAAAAATATCTGATTGTCCAATGCAATTCTACATAACTATGATAATTAAGATGCTGATTTCTTCAGTGTATGGGAAGAAGAAGAGCTAAGTTTGTCATGGATGCTGCAGCATGCTTTCCATAAATGAGTCCTGTGTGTAAAGGGATTGGTCTTGCCAGTCCACACATCTTCCGTTTGTTAGATTCATTTGCTCATGAGCAGTTTGCTGTGGCTCTTAACAACAAGCACGATTGGAACCTACGCTACCCGCTGGAAACTCAGTTTAGCAGCTGCTCTGATTGATGAATGAAGTTAGGCACAAACAGATGGTCAAAGTGGATTTGCCTGAGGGTTATTTTTAGGTTTCCATTCCCAGTACATTTGTAAAAATTGAAAAGAAGTGAAAAAGACATAAAATACAAGCCCATGTGTTATTATACAATTTCTCTATAATTGTAATAATCATATTGCTATAAAAATTTATGAAGACTTTCAGTTTTTGTACTCATTGCAGAGCTGATGGATTATAATGCTGTATTTTTCATCTGTGAAAGCAGTGTAAGTCCATAAGTAGGCAAATGAAAATAGTGCTACTCTCAGATGACTTTAGAGTTCAGCATGGTCAATCACGAATTTCAAAAAGGAACTGTCTGGAACAATGTAGTTCAAATCAGTGTTGTTTCTGGGTATGGTAGGTCATACCTGTAATCCCAGCATTTGGGAGGCTAAGGCAGGAGGATGGTGAGTTTCAGGCCAGTCTAGGCTATATATCGAGCCTCTTTCTCAAAAAAAAAAAAAGACAAAGCTCTACTCACACACAACCACACCCCCCGAAAAAACCCCAAAACTCATTGTCACTATTCAGCTACCTTTTCAGCATCTAAACCTCTTGTGTTAAATAGTCTTGTGAGGATGAAATGAACTGGCACAAACACAGGGCTTGGCACTGTGGCTGGAACATCATAAGAATCTTAGAAATGTTGGGGATTCTCAGTACTGATTAGAAAAGGTTTTAAGAGTTTCATTTTTATAACTGTTCAGCTTAATACTTTTTATTTTGTGTGGGTTTTTGGTGGTACTGGGGTTTGAACTCAGAGTCTCAGGCTTGTTAGGCAGGTACTCTACCACTTGAGCCACTCTGCCAGCTGGACTTACACTTTTTAAACCTTTTTTTTGGGAACAGACTTCTAGTAATCAGCAGCTCCTCTCTCGAATCTTCTTCCCAGGTTCAGAAACTCCTCAGCATTGGTTTGGAATTCAAAGGTCCTGTTTTGGGATTTGCATTTGAATTACCCTCTAATGTTCCACTTGGAGACCTGGGCTTTTCCTGTAGCTTTGTAGCATTTTTCTTTGTATTTAACTTTGTTCTTTAATTATACTTATTCTCATTTTAAGCTTTGTTTTATCCTTTCGCATTTTTTAAGTTTTGTGTCTGATTATAAGTGATTCATTCATAATAGGTATCTGTGAGGTTTGACTTAACCACTAAGTCAAAGTTTTATTTGTTTGAAGAACAAATTTGTCAGTGTGCTTTTCCCTTGACATTGGTTCT